AGGTGTCACTTCCTGGGGGGGCTGGAGGGCGGGCGAGAGAATATGGGGGGGGGGGTTCTGATTTACTGTACATCAAAAGACGGTTCTTAGCAGACTGGAGAGCTGTAGGAAAGGGAGAAAATATATCTATCCCTATTGGGAATCATCAGCAATCAGTGTCTGTTGTTTAGGGTGGCAAGTAGGTACCACAGTGAGCCATAAGGGTCAGGTACCAGTGTTTAAAATGAGCCAATAATGCTACAAACAAAGTAACAGCAGAAAAGCCATTGTTGATTGAAGAAATTGTAATAAAAGATGAAAGAGGAAAAAGGTACAACTTACTGCGGAGAAAAGTTAGTGTTTGGCTAATCTTGTGGAGTGACTGATTTCAGACTGAATTTCTTTTAGAAAGCAGAGCCTGAAATGATGCCAGTGTCTGCCCAGCAGTACTCGCCTTTTCTGTTGAAACAAGTGTGAAGGAACAGAATGACCCGTTTTCATCTTTTGCTTTGTGTGCCAGTGCTTGTAAGATGTTGAGGCTAGTGTTTATATATGTCAGAGAACATTTCATTTATATTCTATGAGCTGGCTGAGCTCTTAATTTTATTATACAGTTGTCTTCAATCTGTACATTTTTGCATCATGTAGGGCATTGAATGCAATTTGGAATTATGCATGCACAGCAGGGCAGTGTGGAAATGGAAGAGCACCCATGTTCAGCAAAACTCTGGATAAGTTAAGGTTAAAAAAGCCACAATTTTGAGTGCAACTTTATCCTTTGCTTCTCCGTAGGGTGTGTACTGTAACTGTGTGTGTGTTTGTGAGAGTGAGAGAGAGAGCAATTTTGTGAGTACTGATGTGCTCATGACAGACACTTCACCCTGAGTTTCAGTACTGTCTCTGTTCTTGGTGTTGGTGTGTGTGCGTGTGTGTTTGCGTGCACACATGCCGCATGTGCAGAGAACAAAACTGACTCCAAATTACAGTTTTCAGCTCATCCACCCACTCACTCGCTCTGGAGGATTCTTCCTTATCTCCTTTGTCAACCTTAACAAGCACTTTCTCTTCATCCAACATTCATATTGGTATTTTTTTTACTCTTCGTCCATTTTTTACACTTTGTCCATCTCTATCTACTTTTATGTCACAATCTTTTCTCTTTCCTTCCCTCCCTTTCTCTCCTACTTTCTTTCCTTTCTCTCGTTTATTCCATGTTCCTCCTCCTCCTCCTCCTCTTCCTCCAGGAACCACAGACAACCGTCATCCATAATCCAGTGGACAGGACGAAGGTATACATCATTCCCTAGTCCTGACCCATTCTTTATCCTCTTTGTCATTCTCCTCCTTTTCCTTATCTTCTCCTGCTCTTTGATCCTTCATTTCATCATGCATCATTGTGACCGCACCATGGCTTTGGTTTACTAATGTGTATGTGCATATGTCTGTGCGTGTGTGTGTGTGTGTGTTTTGCTAAAGATTAAACTCCTCAGATAAATGACTTTATACTATAAAGGGAACAAGGGGTGGATGGGATAGCAAATGTTGCCTTTTTAACCAGTGCCCCATTGAGCAAGCTTTTTGTGCCAACTAGGGGACCTTGACACACACACATTAAACTCCCCAGTAGTATATAATGAACTACAGTATATAATTATGTATAATAAGGAATTCAGGTAACTACAGCAATGTCTATATTTTCAAGTCAGACCAGAAGGGAAATCACCAGAATGATAAATCAACAAAAAAAGTCTTACACAGACTCAAGAGCTTGAATGTAATTTTAGAGACATGCGTTTTCCTTGTTTTGCCTTTGTTCTGCATCTTTGTTCAAACAAAGCTTTATGCAGCATATGAGCAATATTTCTAATGATTAAACATGTAAAAACTAGATCTTTTACCAGATTGCTGTCAGAGCTCTAATGTAGTTGAAAGATACTCTTTGGTATAATAATTAATTATTATTGTTTTTTGGTCGTATATTTCTACGCTATCATGTAGCCTCTTAAACGTAGTTGCTTCAGTTAGTGTAACTGTGTCTGTATGTGTTTAGAGGTTGTGCATGAACCTGTATGACTTTGCAGAAGGATCCCTTCCTCATAGTTATGACCAAGCATTTACGTATTATGCTTTTGTGTGTGTGTGCTACTGTGTTTGCTCAAGTTGTGTTTGCTAAGTTGTGATGCTCACAGCTGAAGGGAAACTTAACTCTGTTCCAAAGCCACATCCAAGTTTTGCATTACAACAGAATGACCTTTGCATTAGATTTTGGGTCAGACCTCAGGAAGCAGTGCATGGCTGCTTCGAATTGTGTACAGCAGCAGCTCTCTGAGAGTCCATAGAGAGAATACACAGGAAGGCACTGAAAGTATTTGGGAAGAACACTGCTTCATTGCAGTTTTTGTTTTTACACCAGGCTGGTTTAAAGCAGCTTACTTGACATCTAGAACAGTTGCTCGTCTTGTTTCAACCCTAGAGTCTTGGCTAAATAGGTGAAATGTCTCAATTTATGGGCTGATAAATGAATGAAGTATATAAGTAAGTGTATATTTATGTAGGTAATGTTTGACATGCACTAGCTTGCCTGTAATGTGGCAGGATGAAACAAAATGTATAAAATGCAAAATGTCACAGAGACAACTTCTCTATGATTCAGACCAAAGAAAACTAACTGTAGGTGTGATCACACTTTTAGTGATATTTCTAATATTTGAGGATGCTTACCACAGTTCTCTCCCTCACACTCACACATACACACACTTCGCTCGTTCCCCAGGTCACCAGCTGCTCTTTCGAAGGCTATGAAACCACGTTTGTGCTTTGCGCTCATGATGATGTTCGTGCACGCGTGTACTTATAATGAGGTCACTGAGTCTCTCAACTCTCCTCTACATGCAGGGGAATTTAGGCCCATTTAATCTGCTAATTGGAAATCAGAAGCTAACGTCTCCTTTGGTGAAAGCCTGAGCAGAGAAAAGACAGCCAGGCAGACAAAAAGGTAGATGGATAGATTGTAAAATCTGAAGTCTCGCTTAAAATGACAACTAATTGGCCTTTGAGAATCCATTCTGACTGCTTCCATTGTTAAAATAGATGGATGGAGCAGATCCCATTGAGTTTCTGTCAGTTTCTACAAGAGACAAGAGCACCCTGTGGAGGAAAGACGTCACTTGTCCACATGGTGTGATGCGCGCACACACACACACTCTCTCTCTGAGGATGAAGCAGAGGGAGATTGGAGTAGAAGAAGAGAAAAGAAGTTTCAGGCCAAGGGTAAAGAAGTCACAGTGGCTGGTTTGCTGGTATGGTTTGACTTTCTATTTGCAAAGGTTGGGTGGTTATGACACATTAACAGCATTGCAACAATATTGGGATTTTGTCCTGGTTTGGTATGTGTTTATAATTTATTATTTAATCCTTATTAATTGGCTTTGATATATTTGGTGCTCTGTAATCAGTTTTTGTTTTGGGAAGACTCGACATGGCAACATAGTAATATGCCCCCTGCTGGCTTGTGTTCTGATTATGTAAAACAAGTCACTAGCACTGTTGGGATGTGTCTTTATGTGTATAAATGTGTGTGCTATTATGTTTGAACCCAAACTAACTGTCTCATCTATGATCTCTAGGAGTCATCAGACAGCAGCAACACCACCGTGGAGGATGAAGATGTGAAAGGTAAGACTGCAGTGATATAAAACATGACAAATTTCAAAACTTAAAAGTGTCTAGTACTGAACTGTTTGCTGCAAATGAAAGGCCAGGATCCTCAAATTTTGGATCATCACTTGACATTTCCACTGTAATTGTTTTCTGCTGCAGCCAGTCAGTGAACAACCTGCGTAACTGCAGAACCATGAGGTGCCTCTCACAAGCATAAATATCACATGAAGCTTTCAGAAACAATAGAAGCAATAAAAAAGAAGTGGATGACAATGGGCAGATAGTACACTTGACCAGAAAGTCAAATAAATTGGCTTAATTGTTGTTCAGTTGGGCTTGTAAAGTTTTCAGCTTGTAATGGTGGATTGTGACAAGCTTTAGTTTCACATGGGGAAATTAATTCCTTAATTCTCCTTGCAGTAAAAGTTGTTGATTATTTGTTACTGACATAATTATAAGTGTAGTAATTACAGTTACATGTTCTGACAATCTAAAGAGCCTACAAAAAGGCCTCTCTCAGCTGGTGCTCTGCTTTGCATGAGCCTCTTGTTTATTAGATGGTGAGATAAGGGTGCTGATACAGTTTGATGCCACCTGTTGAACTGAGATGTCTTTTTTTTCCTGACAGAATGAACATTTGTGTCATTGTGATTCTTGACCATTTATAAAAGCTTGCAACTATAATGTGGAACAAAATTATTAATTACTTTTTTTAATGAAGTTAATGTGTAAAGACCAAAAAATAGATTTGTAATCAGAACAGCACATGCTAAATGTACAGGGATTGTTATTTTGACAATGAGAGTAATACGTTCACATACACATGTGTGGTATGGATTGTATAAATGTGACTCTAACTTAGTCGGCAGGCAGTCAGCGGGCTGATAGCTGACCTCTTACTGACCTCTTACTGACCCCCTATGGAGCCTGGCTGTATTGCTTCCTTTTGCTGGTTTTTCAAAAAGACTGAAGAGGTGTGTGTGTGTGTGTGTGCACGCGTGCGTCTGATACGAGATCGGGGGGGGCCTGTGAAATGTAAGAGGCCTTGTAATGATGTTGTGGTTTGGTGTTTGGCTATAATCTTAATGTTGAAAAACACACACCTCTGAAATACCAATGTACGGGGTGTCCGCTTGCAGAGTTGTGTACTGTATATGTTGCACACATATCAGCAAATCACTTCTGTGTCCAGCCTTCTTTGTCTCGTGTGTGTGTGTGTGTGTGTGGTTGAATCTACGTTTGTGTGATTGTTTGTGTGACTGTGTGTGTGTGTGAATTCATAGGTTCTTCCTCTGGTAATCTATGCAAACAGAGTACAATGCGTCTAAATCGGGTCATGAATGAGGCTTTGCTGCTGTGTCACAAATTCCCTAGCAACCATGGCAGAGCCGTCATGTAGGTCTGTAAGAAAAATGAGCCAGTGTCACAACGAGTACTACAATTGTGAAGTAGTACTCAAGTAGAAATACCCATTATTTTACTGGTATCGTCCTTATTGTAAAATGTAAAGATGTTATATTTTATTTGAAGTGGGAAAATTAAGAATTATGAAGTGCACATCACAATAATTACAGACATTTGATTAACATAGAATAGATTTTTAAATGTACTCCAGAACACAACAAAAAATCCAAAGTACACAGTGAATTTACCCAATTACAATATCAGGGATGAATGTACTTCATCAGGTATGACTGGACAAAAAGTTTGCCCGATGGAGCATTACATCACCTGAAAATCCTTTATACCCCCTGGCTCTACTGTACTTTACTGTACTTTCCCCGTACACAGTGAAATGTATCCACCCCCTACCCATTTCCTTCCCCTCCAAGGTCCCAAATTGGAGCCCCACCATCCCACCCCCCTGGCAGGAGCGGAGAGGGCAAGGGCACCTTGTGGGGCGGAGGGGGTCAGGGCTAGAGGGGGAGGTGTCTAAATTTAGTCCTGGTGGCAGGAAATGGAGACAGAGTGCCTAGAGAGGCATTAAAAACACACCGCTCTGCTAGCGCCACCCTTAGATAGCATTAGTCTCACACAACGGTTTTAAGATTCTTTAGATACGAACCGGCAGATAGCACGATTAGTGTCAGAGAAAACTACAAGAGCCAGGTGAGTGCGGGAGGAAGGAGAGTCGTGTTTGGTTGGAATAGTTTGTGTCATGTTGGCCTGTAGGATCTTGTCAGGTCAGTGAGTGCTCGACAGCTGGTTTGTAACCCAACACCTAAGCTGGCGTTTGGAGCATCTGAGCACATATCTGTTCTGTTACTCTCAATACTTTTATACTGGTTGTACATGTTACACACACCGTCTTCTGAGGGCTGCTTGTTGTGAGTCGTTAATCTACAGTTTCGTTGTGTAGGGTGATAATTCTTTACGCGAGTTATGATTTATAGGATTGCTTGCTGTTAAATTGCTAATCGTAAAGTTCTTCTTTTTGTGACATCTGTGGAATTAAGTGTTAATTGGTGGGATGTTTCTGCACAGCACTTGCGAGGGATCACCTGTCAGTCAACCAGTGTGGGCTGTGCTTTCTTTGAATTTCCCTCATTATGTTTGGTTTCTGTAGTTACCACTTTTAGCTGAGAGTAGGAAAATTGCCATTCACAGATGCAAATGTTGTGGATTGTTTCTGTTGATCTGTGAATTTAATTTGATCACATTTGAGAGGGCGCAGTTATGCCCCTGGCAATGCGGCAGGAAACTCCTGTATTTTTCTCTCTCCTTGCCAGTCTTGTGCCATCTATTTTTTCCTACAGGGATGCTTTCTTTCCCCTATGTTTGTTAATGAGTGTTCATATGTTGCGTTTCCCTTTGTGCCAGCTGATTAAACAGACGAGCGGTAATGAATAACATCCAACTCTCTCTCATTATCATGGCCATCACCATTGTCATCATCCATCCTCTGCTCACTGGCAAGACTCCCATTAAAGTCTTAGCAAAACCTCACATGCAGCAGCAGCCCCAGTTGTAAGTCCTGCTGTAATGGAGTCATTAACTCGGATAATGAACAAAATGCTTTTTTTCTTCTTCTTTTTTTGGCTTGACTTGACATCTAGTGACTGTCTGGTGTCAGTGAAAAGTAGCTGTAATAAAGGTTGACTGGGTTTATCATCTTTTACTTATCTGCCCCTACTGTCTCACTTTGCCCTCCCCATCATTCCTCTGTGTGACATTTCAGTTGTGTTTTTGCGTGCAATATGTGCAGCTGCTGGTCATCTCTCTCTACATGTGTGTTTTGAGTCTCATTCTGTGTGTGTGTTTGTTTGTGCACATGTTATCAGGAAAGAGCTTAGACAACAGCTCGCTTAAGGCGCAGTCCAGCACAAGCTCCCAGCCTGATAGCTCTCAGGGCTCCTCAGCTGCTGTGTACTGTAAGTCAGCATGGCCCGCCAAATGCAGACCATAACGCATCATCAGCATTCATTTGCTGTACTGGTAATTTAACTTGACTAAAACCTTCCTTGTGTGTATTGCATTCAGCGTCCCTGCATGTATTAAAAGCAAACATCTGCTGCTATTTAGCACCATTAAATCCCCACTAAGTACCCTGACTTGCACTGTGCTTCGTCACTCCTTTTGAGTCTTCTTAGTTTGCACCATTTCTATGTCTTACTATCAGACAGTCCAAAGCATTTAATAACAACATAAATTCTCAGAAAAAAATAAGCCCTTCTGAAAAACAGTGAAATGCTTTGTAGTATTTCTAATCCTCTACCATCCCATTCTACCCCCTGTGCTGCCCACACCATGAGTGTTTACAATACCTCGTTGTCTCCTTCTCATGGACAAATGTTGAATAGCAACACAATACTGCTCCATGGCCATCCGTATCTTAACTATGTTATTCAGACATTTCTAAGCATGAATTTTGCCCTTTTATGTCCCTTCACTGTCTTGGAGAGCTCTAATGGTACATCCAGTACCACAATTTCACAGTAAATGAAACTGCATTGCTGTTTGTGTTTGATATATGTCACCTTTTTTCATGTTTGGCTGGGTGGTCTGCTTGTCTTAATGCACTCCTAGATGGACTTCATGTTCATCTGAATGGCCTCAGTGCCTTGATCAACCATCCATTGAAGTACACTGTCTCTCATGTTCCTCCCTTCCTCCCTCCTGAACCCAGCTGCCACAAAGTTTGCTGACCTGCTGGGCTCAGTTCGTAGGGGCTCAGGGCCCACATCTGACGGGGAAGGGAGATCCTGCACTCCACCTCCCGCTGTCCTCTCTGCCCCCTCCCCTCCACACACCCCTGTTGTCCCCATGCAGAGTAAGTAGAAAAGAGCAAGAACAGGGAGTGTACAGCAGACGACCACTGGAAAAGAAAAAGTGGCCATGAGACATGAACTGGTATCTCCTGTTCCTCTGTTCCCATGTCAAGATAATTCATGAAAAGATGGATTCTGATTGACTGATTCTGTCATTTTTCATTTTGGGAAAGGAATGAAAAGGAGTAAAATGACTACATAGATCACTTTCTCATTTTAAAATGGCACTAAAGAAATATGAAAATGTTAAAAGAAATTGCTGTGATGACATTTTAATTAAGAAAAAAATCCCTTCCAAATCCAATGAAAATAGCAAAATCAACAATAAATTGATAATATGTATTATTGTATAGTCAAATGTTTATTTGTCTTTCCTATAGGCCTCAATTGTTGCAAAGTGTTAAAAACACAACAATGAGTGACGTGCTCCTTCATTACAATGAACATGAGCACTGAAGTTTATTTTGAGTCATACAGCTGCTGTAAAATACTCAGTGGCACACCTAATGTGTATTATTCCACTGCTGAAAATAGTCCCAAACTATTCTAAACTAAACTCCTATTTGAGTAACGTTTGTTAAAACCCACAGTGCCAAGCTAAATTAGGGAATTACTGAGAGTTTTCTTTAAGATGAAACAAAATATTTAATTACCCTTTTTATATATATATAAGTGGATTTACGTTAGTATGTTAAGCAGGATATACTTCAAAGGCAGCAAAACTATGTTAATGTATAATCGATGAAACCATCTTCTATGAAAAAGTGTGATAATTAGAAATACAGGACAAGGACAAGTTCAATTCATGGTTATTGTGACTACAAATACACAAATTCCTAAAGGGATTTCCTTGTTACTTCATTCCTTTATTCTCTTTTTGTTTCCCTCCTCTTCTGTTTCTAATCTATTCTTTTGCATTCCTCCACCTCCACCATCACCCACCCATCCATCTTGCCTGAATGGCGCCCAGTGTCTCGGCTCACAGACCTGGTAAGCAGCGTACGCAGGGTGCCGGTAGCCCCAGCACCTGAGGTTGATGCTGCGCCGGCGCCGGTGCCTAGCGCCAGGCCCACCCCTTCACCTGCACACACCACCTCCCCACCTCCCCCTCACTCTCCCTCCAGCCATTCCCTGTCTTCCTCCCAGAGTGAGTACCGAGCATGACCCACCCCCACGCATAGTAGCCAATCACGGGGGTGAATCAAATGCCATTTCAGGTTTTCATTGCAGGCCTGTGTGTGTTCTGCTTTTGGTACATAGAGATGGGTACATTGTGTTGTTAAACTGCTCTTTTGTCAGCTGAGTTAGAAATGAAACTATCTGGATGGGTGTGCTTTTTGCCTCTGAGCCATATTAACCCCCCCCCGGCGCACCCCCCCCCCCCCCCAGGGTTAGCAGTACTGGCTTCAGACAGATTAATATATTTGTTTTGTTGTTTTGGACTAGTTGTGATGTCTTGGAGTACATAGGTGAAGTTGCTTGTGATGAAGGAGATGACTTGTGTGTGCTCATAGTACAGTGTAGGTGTTTAGGATCACATGATGAGAAAGGTCCCTATGTGTGTAGATGTCTGATTTTATTTCTTTGACATGTTCAGTGAAAGAAATGTAAACTAATTCAAGAGTTAATTAACTTGTTTAGGCTTCACAGATGTTTGTGAAGTAACTCCACTATAAAGCATATTTTTCCAGCTTCTTGTATGAACAACAAGTTTACTCTGACACATTTTCATGGTATTCTCAGTAAGTATGAATGTACATTGGGTTTCTAACTGGCTTTGCCTAAACATCTGTTTTGTTGCGTTAATACATTAAAATCACTTAAAAACTAACTGCTCTCCATCTGTTTTTGTTAACCCCTAATTAACTTAACCGTTCTTACTGTCCACTGCAGCACGCAAACAAGAAATTATCAAGATCACTGAGCAGCTGATCGAGGCAATCAACAATGGAGACTTTGAGGCATACGCGTGAGTCTACATTTTTGTGTTTGGTTTGTGTTAAAATGTATAGTTCAAAGTTAATGTCTGGCTTCATTAACATGTTCTGCTCTTTCCTTTTCAGTAAGATCTGTGACCCTGGACTGACCTCGTTTGAGCCGGAGGCACTGGGCAACCTAGTAGAAGGGATGGATTTCCACAGATTCTACTTTGAAAACCGTAAGATAGATTTGTTGTCATTTAAAAAAGGTCACTTCTCATACTGTTGCAGTCTTGCTGGTTAATAATGGGATTTTGAAAATCTGGTTTCTTTTTGTTGTATCTGTCTTTTTGTTTGAGAGTAAACATGCACGCCTCATTAGTCAGAATCCTAAAATGGGGCTTAAAAAGAGAATGTAGTCAGTCTTTACTGATTCATTTGCCCTATTGCTGGTTTCAGCTGTAAAAGACCACATTCGGATGCGTGAAATAAAAAATGGAAGTAGGGAAGTGTAAGTAAAGCTCCATCCTGAAAAAGCTAGACTCACCAATCATATTCCACAGCAGCTCCCACATCCACTAAGCTTGAGATGATTAGTGCGACATACACACATCATATTACATCATTTGTCGAATTTGACCTCAAAATTCAAACCACCTGTATTTGCATCCTTATGGGGTGTCAATGTGTGAAACTTCAGAACACTTCTTGTAAATACAGTACTTGCTTTCATTTACATGTCAACTATATGAAAGTGAGTAATACAATAGTAGTAATAATAGTAGAGGAGTAATCCTGTCATTATTGGCTGACATTGTTCATTCCTTCTTCTTTTTTTTTAGTTTTGGCTAAGAACAGCAAGCCCATCCACACCACAATCCTGAACCCCCACGTCCACCTGATTGGCGAAGACGCTGCCTGCATCGCTTACATCCGCCTGACTCAGTATGTTGACGGCCAGGGTCGGCCGCGGTCCAGCCAGTCAGAGGAAACTCGTGTTTGGCATCGTAGAGACAGCAAGTGGCAGAACATCCACTTCCACTGCTCAGGCGCACCAGCTGCGCCACTCCAGTGAGGTATGGAACAGTGTGACAACTGGGAGGACACTCACAGCTGAAAGTGTTCCTCTCATAGCTTGTTTGTACTTTCATTAAACTGCTACAGCCAATATTCACTCTAAATAGTTTGTCAGATGATGCAGTTTTATTCAGTCAATCTTTCTTTTCATTTTAGCATTGAGATAGAGAGTCAGCAAAAGAAAATCAGTGTTTCATCAGAAAACGTAGCAACTCCACTTCAAGTTGAGGTATTCCCACCCAATATATCATTCAGGTTACTTACATGAATTTCTTTATGGTCCACGTGTACTGGGGACAAAAATAATCCTCATCCAATATCAACCAGCAACACCGTCCAGCCACAATAACATAGAAATCACAAACATAGAGACACACAGAGACATGAACATCAAACAACAAATCTCAATCAAAGTGTGACCAGCATTACAAACAAGATACATCAACAAAACCATCCAGCTGCAAAGACATAAAAACCAGCATAAGCATCATCCTACAAGTAGGCCTATATATTTTGCCTCTTTTTCCCCGTGTTGAGGAGAGTAATAGCTGTGTTTGTGTCTGTCTTGACTGAGGGAATTCTGAAGAGGGTCCCAGAGACTAGTGATTCTGCTGATGAAGAGAGTGGGTGCAGTCAGACAGGATGGATTTGCCCCCTTACCACCTGACTGTTATACTGAACAGACCGGCTGCTCTGCTGGACATCTACTTCAGTTCACTTTATTAGCCAGTGCATTCTTGGATTTGATATTTAAACTGCCATACCAACGAACAAGGGAAACTGATTCTTTGTAGGATTTGTTAAGGAAAGTCATCAGGGGCCTGTCAACATCAAAACTTCACTAGTATCAAATAATGTAGACTTGAATTGTGCTTGTGTAAAGAGTTAAGAGTTACTTTTATAGCCACCTTTTTTGCTTTGGATGGGCTGTAACTGCCCCATGTTGTGTTAAAGCAATAGAGAGTTACATGAGAAGATCGATATCACTCTGAAGCTGGAGCTAGGGGGCCGTTATCTTAGACGGCTTTTTCCAGTCTTTTTGCTAAGCTAAGCTAACTGCTGGTGGTAGCTTCATATTTACTGTGCAGACCTGAGAGTGAACTCAATCCTCTCCTCTAACATTCAGCAAGAAAGCAAATAAGCCTATTTTCCAAAATGTCAAACTATTCCATTAATTTTAAAGCGGCGGCTGCACTGATCTCAGTCACACTTTTATTGTCACATTTGAATTTATTTGACGTTGTTTTGTTTTCCTTCTCAGGGTTGAATGCCATAGCTTTGTCAGCTTTTGTCAGGAGTGTTCTGCTGGAGAGAGAGGAAGAGGAGAAGGAGGAGGAAGGGATAAAAGAACAAGTCCAGTGTCAGTTTGGGGACGGGGCTCCTCGCCCTTCAGCAGCAAACCCTCCCTCACTGGACGCCCGGCCTCAACCCCCAGCATGCATCTCTTCTTTTACTACTACTGCCCCGTGTCTGTCACCTGCCCCACAACATCTTCTGACATCCAACAGCTCAACATCCTTCACCCCCTCCAGCTTCCTCTTCTTCCCTTCCGGCACACTGAGTGATAGGCGGGGGAGGGGGTGTTTTCAGCACTCAGTAGGATTCCTTCTTCCCATGGTCTCTTTCCCCCCCGTCCCCACAATTTTTGTGACACCAAACCTCTTGTCCTCCTGTGAATCCACACTTGTGTGACAAACACTGCACTGGAAATACAGTATGTAAAGTTTTAAGTAAAATCTATTATTATCATTACTATATTATTATGATGATTATTATTATTACACATTTGCAATTGTATATGTAATTTGTATAATTCGAAAATTCTTGATGCCAGTGGTTTCTAGAGTTGAAGGAAATCTTTTATTTGTTTTTCTCTATCTTTTTAAGGAAGCATGTTTTTTTCCCCATATAACAGTGGCTGTTTTTTATTGTGGCTATTAAGTGGAAAATTATATTGGCAGTTTTTGTAATTTGCTTCTTGTATGTTAGCTATAATACTGCGCCCAACTTGTTTTTGTTTGTTTGTTTTTGGGTTGTCTTCTTCTTTTTATTTTTTTGGAAGGGGTGTCTGATGGTATTATGCGTTCATGTAAAGAATGAGTCCTAATGTGTGTGTGTGTGTGTGTGACTGTGGTTATGTAAGCCAGACACCTAGTGTGTACTAGTCCAGACACAATGACTCTGTACAGTTGGAGGAACCTATTGTTTTTCCCTTTGTTGCAATGTGAGCGGCCGGAGAAGCTAGGCTCAGTGTCTTCCTGCATCAAAGCGTAAACATTTCAAACATACAAAACAAACAGCACGCAATAGGAGATTAATTGTGAATTTACTTTTCCATCTTCATGTTTAACGCTGTAATGGTAGCACCCTGAATGGTGAGGTCTGAAATATGAAGTCAGAGAAGAAAAATATGTTGCTTTTATCAGTTAGCGACAGTGTTCCCTTTCTTGTTCTTGTCCCTATCTCATTACAATGAGAACATTTTCTTAATATAACATGATACATGATGATAACATAACAACGTATTTTGTTATAAGAAGAAACATATATATATATATATATAACACATCCCCTTTACAACATTACATGTTGGTGTATTACATAAAGAAATTATTTGTATGTTCTCTGTAATATGAAAAAATGTTACAACATGAAAAATGTAGGGATGGGATATTTTGAGCCAGATTCTGCCTTGATAAATGCATATGATAAGAGTCGTTATTTAACATGCGGGGCTGTACAGAAAAAAAAACAAGAAGTCTGATCTCTTACAGGGAAGGGAGCATCAATTCTCTTAAATCTGAGGCATAAAAGGCTGATGGATATAAGTCCCAGTCCTTGAACTCGGGATTATGTTTAGTTGTAGACTAGACGGATCTTTGGAATAACATCGTTTCGCTATATAACCAACCATTTTGAACAGATTCAAGGCCACCCTGATGTAAAAATACTCAAATTACTATTAGTATACGGAATAGAATTCACCCCAATCAATCAATCAATCAATCAATGTAACACTTGGTAAATTACTAAACGCATCAACATTGTGTATGTATTGTATCACATTTCCCACTCTAAACAGTTAACTCAGTAAAACATTGAATCAAAACATCAAAAATATAATGTTATTTCTTGTTTTACTTGCGATTTAATGAGATAGGCTTCTTGTTATTATGCTATATTTTGTATGTCATAATAACAAATGAAATATGTCATACCGTTACATCAAAGTATCTTGCTGTAATTGCAATATATTTTGCTCGCAGGAGCAGTGACATGCTGCCATACTTTCTTAAACCTCACTGTCCTTTGACACCACACCTCGGTCTTCTCGCACAATAATGTTTCATATACATTTTCATACAAATCTCAGTGAGCGAGTAGTTCAGCTTTGACCACTGTTTCCACAGGGAGCCTGTTTTTTTCCCCAGCTAGTGGTGCTAAAAAGGTGCTCGGGGAGAGATGCGCTGTTGGTGGCTCCTGATGTTGCTAGGCAACAGCCGAATACCCGCTTGAAGCTCAGTGCGCTCTTCCTAAAAGTTGTGATATTTTTAACTCGCTAAAATCTCTGTGCTGCCTGGAACACAACAGCAGCTCCTTTTTCTTTTCAATCAAAATGACAAACCAAGAGACGTGCACCATAGAAAGGCTCCCGGAGGCTGTTTGACCTTTCTCACTTCTAAAGCCGCAGTGCAGAAATGTGTCCATACGAAGCACATGCATACAGAAAACTAACATTTAGTCATATCAGTGATGAAGAAGGATATTCTCGCTTGAAGCCCGATAAGTGTTTCCCGGCCGTACAGCAAGTTCATAAACGTCCGCACATAGTGAGGTTGGCGTAGGGCTTCACTGTTCTGTGGTCTGGTTCCTCATTTCAGGGCAGTCCTTCGCCACAGGGTGCAATATTTGTGTGTGTGTCTGCAAGCATGTACAGTACATCCATTGCTCTCAGTGTGTATTCTTAATAAGCCTGGGGGGTGTGTGTGTTGTGTGAGAGATGGAAGGAGAAGGCTTTATTTCGGAGGACACATCAGTCCCCTGCCTTCAGCCCAGGACTTTTTTCTTATGAGTTGATCTGTTTTTTTTTTTTTGTTTTTTTCTCATGTATTATGTTTTTGTGTAATATTTGCTTTTTATGATATGAAGTGCTTGTGCCAGGTGGGGCAGGATAAATCCGATGGACTTTGCAGCACTGAAAACTGTTTTTGTAGGGGTTTGGCTTGGAATCAGCTCCTCTGTACTTTGCTCGTCCACCATTGGCTGCCTTCACATTTGTCTCACCCCTATTGGTCAGACCAAGATATTAAGAGACCGGGCAGTCAGTTTGGTGAACAGTCCTCAGGTTTCTATTTATTTTGAATATTTATTTATTTATTTTAGTGGATATTTTTATTGTGCTTCTTTCTTTTCTTTTCTTTTTTGTTTTTGTTTTGTTTTCCTATTGTACAGCTCATGCACTTGTGCAAGTACTGTTCGTTGTTGTTCAAAGGGACACTGCTCCATGTAAAACATGACTGTTTTTAAAGGGATAGTACACCCAATTTGCATCCTGCATGTTTTTTTTTTGTAACGACCAACATGGTGTGAATTACTTTTTTCTTCAGCATCTTTAGATTTAGGTTTGTGACATTGTTTTTGCAGTTTTATGGTGTCCATTTATTTTCCTTCCACGTAGGTCATTACCACTTTGCCAGAGTGGGACATCTATCACTTTAAAACTCATATAATACAGGATTGTATTTTGTGTGAACTATCCCTCGAAAAGCTT